TCAATCATTAGTGACGTTTTCTCTCTCTAAACAAGTTTTAAAGAGAGGAGTAATCATTCGAGGAACCCCTTTTTCATGTCTTATTCTAACCGAGGTGAGAGAGGACTGAATTGTAGAGTTAACCATTGGGTGCAGGGATCAAAAAATCGGCCATTGGATTCGGAATAATGCGATTCGGATCGAGAATCACTAAAGATACTTTAGGTTTTATAAAAAAAAAAAGGATTCGTTCAAATTAGACGAAAAAATTGCCAGAGTCTTCAATTTTTTGGGCGAATCTCACTGATTCCTTGCATGAACATATAAAAAATCACATGATTTTCACTTTTTATTGTAATTTTCAATTGTGGAATGCGTCAAAATATTACAAAATAGTGGATTCGAATCACGATTTTCAAAGAAAGTTCGAGTTCTAAAAATTTATGCCTTTTGATGATTTACAGACGAATTAGAGAGTTTTTTTATCAAAATCGTAGGGTTTTTAAAGTTCAAAGTGTTATTGAGAGGATTATAGTCGTATTTTTGCTGATTTAACAATTATTTTGCTCGATATTTGAAGAAATCAAGCTCCGGCAACATTTCTGAGTTCGATCCGCCAAAGTGATAATTTCTGTTGAAATTGGGCACCATATTGCATGATATCTGAGGGTTTTTTAAGCTCTTGATGTTCTTCAAGTCATTGTGTAATTTATTTTTGTTATTAACAAAAAAAATTTCATCAATTTATGAAGAAATCGTGTCTGATTCATGAAGAACCCTAATTTTCATATGAAGCCTCCATTTGATTAATTTTAGGAAAAATAAGTAGTTTTTATGATCAAAATCAGAGAGGCTTTGAAGTTTAAAGTGTTATTGAGATAATTATAGTCATATTTTTCCTGATTCAACATTTATTTTTGTTTGATTTTTGAAAAAATGAGCTCCGGTAATGTTTTTGAGTTCAATCTGCCAAAGTAATGATTTCTACTGAAATTGGGCACCATATTGCGTGATCTCTAAGGGTTTTTGAAGCTCTTGATGTTCTTCAGGTCATTGTGTAGGTTATTTTTTCTATTAGCAAATTTTTGTTCATCAATTTATGAACAAATCGTGACTGATCATAGAGAACCCTAATTTTCATATAAAATCCGCCATTTGATTAATTTAGGCGAAATAAGTAGTTTTTGTTATCAAAATCATATGGGTTTTGAAGTTTAAAGTGTTATTAAGAGGATTGTAGTTGTATTTTTTGTGATTAAGCACATATTTTGCTCGATTTTGGATGAAATCGAGCTTCAGCGACATTTTTTGAAATTTTTGATCCGCCGAAATGTTGATTTCAACACAAATTGGGCACCATTTTAGATGATATTGGAGGGTTTTTAACGCTCATAATGTTCTTCAATATATTGTGTGAATTATTTACTTCATTAACAAAGTTTTGTATTTGAAGAAATCTTAACTGATTCAGCGTACCCGAAGAAGCCTAAATTTCTAATCGAAAATTTCAATCAATATAATTCGATTCAAATCGAATTGAGGTATTTATTATGATCCTCATTATTTCAATACGTATATTTATTAGCTTCACGATTTATCGTTTGGTAATTTTTTATATGAATTTCCTTGTTGAAAATGCTCTATGTAAAAATAGATTTCCTTGTTGAAAATGCTTTGTGTATGAATTTTCTTGAATATAGGTACATAATTAAATTCCCTTGATACGTCAAATTCATGTATGTTCTTATTTCTATTAGTATAAGAATAAGATTTTTTCTATTTTATTGTAATTATAATCATAATTAAATTTCTTTAATACAACAAATGTAGGTATGCTATTATTTATCTCAGAATAAATTTTTTTTTTTTCCTGTGATTATAGTCAAATGGTCCAATTCTATGTCATAAATGTATTTTTATCCTGCAATTGATGTTCTTATTTCCCTCAATATAAGAATAGATTTTTTCCCTTTTTTGTAATTATAATTATATTTAAATTTATTTAATACATCAAATGTATGTATGTTCTTGTTCCTCTCAGTATAAGAATGTGTTTTTTTTTTCTATTTTTTTGTAATTATAATCAAATGGTCCAATTTGTTCTTATATCGAGTCAATGAACTGTCACATGAATTTAATCAATGGCACTAACATGACCAAGATGAAGAACGATGTCGCCTTTCATTTTATTATTACGTCGTATTGTACGAATTGTATGCTTTATTGTAGTCCATGTATGATAATATATTTCATCTTGATAATTCTATACTTCTTATTTTGTGTGATATAAATTTAATGGTTAACAATAATTCATATAGGGAAAAAACATCTCAATATTCGCATATTGATGCAAAAAAATAATTTTTTTTAATGGAGTACTCACATTTCTTATTGAATTTCTAAAAAACAACATTTATAATGAAATTTAGCATTTTTTTTGGATTTTTTTAAGGCTGAAGCAGACCGATTCGATAGATTCCCGATCCGAATCACTGATTCACCTATCCGAATGGATTTTTGGGGTGCCTGATCCGGGGCACCGATCCATTTTTTAAACCAGTGAGAGAATAATTGAAGTAGACAATAATTCAAGTAACTGTTTTCTCTCTCTAATCTAAGTTAGAGAGAATCAATAAAATTCTTTCTCTCTTATCCAAGTTCGAGATAAAGAATTATTTTTTGGAAAAGTTACAATTTTTTTTTTTCAAGACTATACTTTCTATGCAATTTACCCCTAACCTAATTTTTTCTCATTTTTTTCTCCAAAATACACGTTATATGGAAATACCCCCAACCAAAAAATAAATTAAAAAATGTTTAAACTACTCTTCTTTGCTTTTACTTTACCCACGCCTCTCTCTCCCCTCTATCCCACCAAAATAGGGTTCCGACACTATGTAAGTTCGGTCCGACAATGGAACACTATGGAACCATAGTGTTTCGGCACTGTATAAGTGTGGTCCGGTATTGGAACACTATGGAGTCACAGGCTCCGATATTGTGTAAGTACGGTCCGGCTGTGAAACACTCTCAAATCATAACGATCTGGCAGTGGAACACTCTGGAGTCATAGGGCTCCCTGATAGTGCGGTTCGCTATTGGAACACTCTAGAGTCACAGGGCTCCGACATTGTGTAAGTACGGTCCAGCAGTGAAACACTCTCGAATCATAACGATATGGCAGTGGAACACTCTGGACGACATTGTGTAAGTACGGTCCAGCAGTCAAACACTCTCGAATCATAACGATATGGCAGTGGAGCACTCTAGAGTCTTAGGGCTCCTTGTGTAAGTGTGCTTCTGCAGAGTCATTGGGCTCCAGCAGTTACAAAGAGTCGGTCTTGCAGTAGAACTTCTGAGTCAAAAGGCTCAAGCTGTTTCAAAGGACGGTCTGGCAGTACTCAGTTTCGGTCCGACAATACAATAGTGCGCTCCGACAATGTGCTACTGGTCCAAAAGTCAACATCAAATCCATCAAAATTGATTTTGTTTATGGTAACGGCATTTCCATCTAAAAACGAAATTTTTCCTTGAGGATATTTACATAGAAAGTTTGTTTTGAAAAAAAAAATGAGAAAAAAAATTAGGTGGGGTAAGTTGCATAGAAATGTAATCTTGAAAGTTTTTTTGTACTTTTTTATATAATTCATCTAGAAAAGAAGCAATCGCTCAAATAACCTATTTTGTCTCTCTTATAAAAGGTTTAAAACTCGGATCGGCCAGGTGAATTGGATATATGGATCGTAGTCGATGAATAGCTTATCAAGATTCAATTGAGAGGATAGGCTAATAAAAATAAAGTTGGAAAAATAAACAATAAATAATAGAGCGGCAAGTTCCCCAACAAAACCAACCGGTTCTTAGCCGGATCTGCTTGGTTATCCACATATTGAGAAATTTGACCAGTTCCTAAGAACTTATCCAAATTGTGTGATTTAATATTGGAAATCTTTGTGATGGCTTTAGAATATATTTTTATAAGTTTAAAGCTTCAAAAATAGTGTAGATCGACACATCTATGAAAACTTGAAAATTGACGGTTCAAAAATACATTACAAAATACACTATTTTAAAAAATTGCAATCCATTTTTTTTCTCATGTCCATGCATCTTGATGTCGAGATGATCAATTTAAAGATATTTGAACATCAAAACAATCTATTTTAATGAAATTTTTGAGGTAAGCTCAAATTTAATTGTTTAGAGCCTCGACTCTATATAAACTTTTCCCTTTAAACAACTTCATTCTCTTTCTAATAGAAGTTAGAGAAAGAATTATCTATAATAACCATTTTCTCTCTCTACGGTGTCCTAAAGAGAGAATAATTTAAAGTATATATTTTCTCGGATATGTCAGAGAGAGAGAGAATCATTCAAATAAAGAATACGGGTTTGGCTTGACAATAAATATATTTTTTAAATATAATTTGATCTTAATTTTTAGATAATATATAATTTTAAACATAAAAAAGATAATAAATATTAAAAAAAAATGAAAATTAAAAATAATAATTATATTAAAAAAAAATTTGAACCGTCAGTTAGGAACCCCTATTCGCATCCATCTTAATTGTTTATCCCTCCGGACCACGTATTGTAGACATACGGTCAAGCGCGCGCGCATAAGCAATTTTCCTTCAAGATATTCCCTCGCTTTCTAAAACAAGTGAGAAAGAGGATCAAATTATTCAAATAATTTCTTTCTCTCTCTAACTCAGACTTAATGATCAAAGTAACCATTTTCTCTCTCTAATCTGAGTCTCTAGTCCAAGTTAGAGAGAGAGTCAATTATTGAAGTAACCGCTTCCTCTCTCTAATCCAAGTCAGACGGTATCTTTCAAGTAAAACCCCTTCTCTCTCTAACCTCTCTTGGGCTTAGAGAGAGAAATTAAGAATTGAAGCAACTGTTTTCTCTCTCCAATCCAAGTTAGAGAGAGAATCTTTCAAGTAACCCGGCTCTTTGGTTTAAACTTAACCCCAGTTAATTCCACCTCTATATAGAGCGGGGGCGCACTCGTCACTTCGTAACCGTGTTTTCGAACCGTCATCCATTTTCCGGGGAGTTTCCGGCAAAATCCATCGTTCTCCGGGCGTTAGAATCATTGTTTTCAGGCGTGAAAATTAATTTTTCCGGTGTTTTGTTGGTAAAAGGCGGTTTCTAGAGCAGTTGGAAAAGCATCTTTGACTATTTGTAACTTTCCGACGGTTTTGCTCGCCGTTAAATCCCCTGCTCACCTTCAAAGAAAGCGGTTCGTCAGGGATAAACAGGTTTTCTGGTGAAAAGCAATTTTACTGTGGAAAAGATCGGTATCCCGGCGAATTTTGGTTTCTTTTCCGGTGAAATTCTGGTTTATCTGGCTCTTTTCTGGATTTTACAAGAGGGAAAAGATGAATAGAGAAGATCTGAATCTGAGTTTAAGCTTGAGGAGAGTCGGAGATTTCGAGTTGAATCTGTTACCCAGAAATTGCAGAAATGATTCTTCCAGTTTAGGTAAATTAGATTCCCGGCTGAAATTTCATTTTTCATGATTGTAATTGCTCTAAATTAGGGTAAAATTTGAGGCTCTTATCCATTGGTTTCATGGATCGTCATTTTTTTCAACATTTTTGTTTTGCATTTTTTCCCCTTTATCCTTCCATTTCTTGTGGTTCTTTTCACCATGGGTCATTAGGCCTCCATAGAACCCTGATTTTCTGAAATTTCTTTTTCACTTTCCTATCAACTTTGATTTTTTTATTTTTTTTTCGATTTTTAGGCTAATTTTACAGTTTTTACCCCATCTTTTGGGTTATTTTACAGTGATTTTTTCCATTTTTGGGTCACTTTTACAGTGTTTTTCCCCCGCATTTTTTGGCTACCCTCTTTCTCTGTATCCAGTACGTATGGTCGTGGAAAATCGATGATAATCTAACGTTATCGCCGTCCAGTCTATCGATGGACGGCAGTAAAGAGAGAGGAACCAAGAGGACATGACATGATCCAAATTGTAGTAGGTCCCACGCTCTCTCCACCATGCTAGCCAATGATTCAAAACTCGGCAAAGTCCACTCTAACGCGAGTTACTCGGACTCGGCCCCTGAGCCTCGTACTCGGGTTGAACTCAGGCCACCTAAAACATTTACAAAATATATATAAAATATGGAATTATGTATGGAATCTAGATTTTTTTACAATGATTTGTGTTATTTTCCTCTTTTTTGTCTTTTTATTTATAAAATACCTCCGGCTGCCCGACCCGAATTAATTGGAAAAAAGCTATCGTGATGATGATGATGATCTCCTGTCACATATCACTTCCAGATTTTTCCTGTTTTATCCTCCGACTGTTTCACAACTTTTTTGGTCTTTTTCCAACATTTTATTTTCACCGCAATCCTCCCAATTTAACCCCCTAATTCTCCTAGTGCACACTATCAAATAATGCAGATAGATCAGAGACAGCTAGATCAATCCTAAAATCCTTTGATGTGAACCGGATTCAGGCGACATCAGATAGGATTCCGACAACAACCGATGCGATTCGATCAGAAATCAGCCGGATTCCGGCAACACCGAACATGGCTGGATTCGATGTAAATAGGATCCCAGTCATTTCAGAGTGCGAAGAAGAGGCAGTGGTGTCGTCGCCAATGAGCACAGTTTCGAGCTTGAGCATGAGTGGCGGGAAGAGAGATGAGCCGGAGGGGGAGAGAGCGAGCTCGAGGGGATCTAGTGACGAGGAGGATGGTGGTGAGGCTGCAAGGAAGAAACTTCGATTGTCAAAGGATCAATCTGCAGTTCTAGAGGAGAGTTTCAAGGAACACAATACTCTTAACCCGGTATGTTCACGGGATCAAATTTGAGGCCATTTTTGCCAAGGGTTGTACCTACTATTTACAACATTCTCACGAAGAGGTCACAATCACTCCTATTCGTTAGATGCTAAATGGGGTTGCTTGTAGTGTAACAGAGTTTGTGAAATTTTTTCAACTTTAGCCTAGCCAATGACACATTCATAACTACATGATTTAAAATTTGACGGACGAGTATGGTTGTGACCTCTTTATTCTGAAAGTAAATGGTCTCTTTGTACTAAGTGCGTTATTGTCGTCACCTATGTGCACTGTATTGAGTTTGAGGTGCTTATTCAGTTGATCTTGCCTTATATTTGATGAATCGTGATCATTAAGTCCTTTTTTTCGTTCCAATTATCCATTTTAAATCATGTTTTATGAGTTCTCTAACGTGCATGTCTTCGGATTGACAGAAGCAGAAGCTCACTTTGGCAAAGCAGTTGAATCTTCGCCCTCGTCAAGTCGAAGTCTGGTTTCAGAACCGAAGAGCAAGGTAATATTTTTGGTCTTTTTCTCTTTAGCCATGATAACAAACACCTATGTGTGTGTGTGCGTGGGCGTGTGCATACATTTTCTCTGGTTAGTGATCAAAAACATAAAACAAGAATAAGAAACAATCATTTGGAATCTGATTTGAGCTCCTATGTTATTGAAAACAGGACTAAGTTAAAGCAAACAGAAGTAGATTGTGAATTTTTAAAGAGGTGTTGTGAAAACCTGACTGAAGAGAACAGGAGGCTCCAAAAAGAAGTGATGGAGCTAAGGTCCCTTAAGCAAACCCCTCACTTCTATATGCACGTGCCTCCCGCTGCCCTGACGATGTGCCCCTCATGCGAGCGTGTGGCAGTGTCGGAGTCCCAGTTTCGACCACAGATTCGATCATGAAAGGACACAGTAGTCTATATAAATTGCCCTCTTTTTCTTTTTCTTTTTTTCCTTCTTTTCAATGGAAAGAAGCTTATTTTGTATGGCTTCTGTAGGTGAAAGAAAGGGGAATTGGTGTAGTGACATTCCAAAGGAATGGAAAAAAAGGATCTTGCTGTATTGTTTATTTATTATTACTGTTATTTTGGGAAAATATTTTGTAGGATTGAGGCTTTACGAAGCCGCACCTCAAATCCCGTTTGAAAATACAGTTTCAGCTTCACCTCTACGATCATGGATTTGAAAAAAAACAACAAAAACAAAGATTTCTAGCCTTAAAAGATGGTCCATTTTGCAACATATTTTTTGGACCTTTTATTTCAAGTTTCCATAGGTCCACCGTATCTGTATTATCTTTCAGAGCTTCAAATATTCAAAGCTATTATAGTCCCAGAACTGTGTTTCCTGTTGGATTTGAGTTGCAATGTTAACAAATTTTGTAGAATAGCAGCCCTATGAAACAATATAATTATAATAGTAAGGGAAATTTATCAAAATATACTTAATTTGTCAACTAAAGTGGATGGATTTATTGAAGTTAAATTGAAAGATATGTGTAAAGTGTTAAATAATTCATGTCTTATGTGCATTTTGGTAAAATTTTCAAATAAATAATGATAAAAATAATGATGATGATGATGATAATAATCATGGCATATTTAGATAGGAGATTTGTTTTGATCGTGTTAATGGTAGGAATGGAGTTCAAAAAGTTGATTTTAGTGTCACAAAAGTATTGATGAAATATTGAAAGTGGTTAGACTTTTTGAGCTGATTTTAGTGTCACAAAATTATTGATGAAATATTGAAAGTGGTTAGATTTGAGTGAGGTTCATGAATTATGTTCCTTGTGGAAACATATTGAAAACTTACTCCCTCGTTGTAAAATAAATTTTGTGATCTATTTAAAATCAGGCAAGCTTTATATGCTTCCTCTACAGCATAAAACTTATATATTTCCGTTTATCCAACCGTCCATTCTGATTGTTGGGTTAAAATTGCTCCAATCTTAATGTCACGTCTCTACACTATTTTGTTTTTAATTTTTTTCTATAAATTATTTTGGCACCAAATTTTGAACGTCCAATCCTCTATTCAACTCGCACTAACAAAAAATATTTAAAAAATATTTTCAATAAAATAAAATGACCAAAATACCCTTAAAATTTTCAAAGGGTATTTTGATCATTATATTTTATCGAAAAATTATTTTTAATATTTTTTATAGGTGCGCCCCAATGAGAATATAGTACGTACCAAATTTTATATTCATACAATTTGTATAAAAAAAAACTAAAAATAAAATATTTTAAGACGTCGGATCTAAGATCAAACGGTGAGTGACTCTCTTGATCAAAATTGGATGGCTGGATGGTAGGGGCAGCATAGATCTTCTATGCTGGGAAGTATAGAAACCTTTCAGTTTAGAATCACTCGATGAATATTAGCATAAAGAATATATTTTGAGTTAAAATCTATGTACTTAAGAAGTGCCGTTATTTTTCTAAAGATACTAGCTTTTTCAAACCTAGTTAGAGCATATTTTATTTATTCCTTCTTGTCTTGCCACTCATCATCTCAATATCTTCATCTCCACTACACTCATTAGTATGTATTGATCATATAAAATTTCAATAACACATCTCTACTTTGTCCATCTAACTCTAATTCTATGTGCAACATATTTCTCAATCTTTCTATTTTTCTGGATTATCGACCCAAAATATCATCGTTATTATTTTATTCCTTTGAGATTCATCGCTAAGGGGCCATTTGGATACCTTGAAATACATTTCTAGAAATATTTTTTTGTGGAGATGGTACATTTCTAGCATTTGGATTGAAAATTTTGAACAAAAAAGTATTTCTGTCATAAATTATTTTTCTCATTTCAAGCCTAAAATAACGAAACTTATATCCTTGTCATTACTCTCATAAATTAAATTCCAACTAGATTTTCCAGAAACATCTACTTTATAAAATACACATAATTATGCCAAAACGTCCCTACAAAATAGAGAGAAAGTAACCCAAATTTTAAGTTTTAGAGAGATAAAGTAACTTAAAAGTTTAGCTAGAGAAATTATACCTAATTTTAGAGAGAAACCATATCAAAAATTTTACAAAGAGAAACTATCTCAAATTTTAAATTTTAGAGCGAGAAATCATATTAAAATTTGAAAAATAAACTATTTTAAATGTTAGAGAGGGAAAATAGCAAAAATTGCTAGAGAGAAATTATCTCAAATTTTAAGTTTTAACAAACAAAACTATCTCAAAATTTTTGGAGACAGAAACCATCTCAAATTTTAAGTTTTAGAGTATAATAATCCTTAAAAAAACAAAAAAAAAAAAAAAAAAACTTTTAAATAAGTGATGGTTCGTATGAGCATGATGGTCTTTAAGGACCACCACTACTTTCAAAAGCTTTTAATTTAAGCTTTTTCCTTCCTCTCACCACTTTCATAGTTGACTTGGCCCTTAATCGTTTCCTGCATAATATTATGGTAACACCTCAGACATGAGGTGGAGCTTAATAAAATAATATAATAATATGTTATAAGAATTTAAATTTGGAGAGGTGAAGATTTCCACCTTAGAAAGTTTTGAGATCTCTCTCTCTAGTCGAAATGCAGTGAGCTCTTTCTCTCTCTAGCCGAATTTTTATCGGATGCTCCCTTTCAAATATTTTAGGTAAGTAACTTCATTTTCTTGAAAAATAATCCGTTCTTTTTAAAATGAAATGAAATAATTACTTCTGCATATTATCATGAATTTTAGGCGCGATAAATTTTATGCGAGCGAACTCATTAATTTGAAAAATAATCTTTTTAATAAAATTGTGATAATTTATCTATGATAGAAATCTTAAATGCTGTAAATTCTTAAAAATAAATTTATTTATTTTTCTTGTTTATTGTTAGAAAATTTTAGATACTGTAAAATTATTAAAAATAAAGGTGATATTTCTGCTTTTAGTAAAATTGTGAGATTTCTTTCTAGTGTTTTTGAATATTTAGATATTGTAAATTTTATGTGCAAATGACTGCCTTATTATCTAAAAACTGATATTTTTGTAATTGATTATAGCGTTGTCTGTGAAATATTTATTTACGAATTGGCATCCCATAAATTGTAATGATTCTGTATTCGTGAATTTCTATAAGAGTTTTTCTATCCATATTAGATTGGCAATTATGCTAGAATGTCTTTACGAACTGCTACCTTTCTTCATTTGAGCCCAAAATATTTGACTGGTTATTTTAGAAATATTATTGAAAGTGATTGTTATTAATGGTTTCAGTGAAATTCATATTAATAATTTCAGTGATATGTTGAGTACATGATATTACTGCTTTCGAATGTTTAAAGAGATTTAAAAATACTTTAAGTATGCAAGTGGATCCATCCGGTTCGCTGGTGAGGTAAAAGTGGATCTATCTAGGATGCCGGTAGGGATTAAGTGGACTCATCCGGTACACCGGTGAGGTATAAGTGGACCTACAAGGATTAAGTGGACCTATCTGGGACGTCGATAGGGATTAAGTGGACCTATCAGGATGTTGATGGGGTATATAAGTGACCTACTTGGGACGCCAGTAGGGTATTTTGTGAAATCTTTTGAATTATGCACTGCCGTTAAAGTGTTATATGCATTTCAATTATTCGGATTATACTTAATTATGCATTTATTGAAAGTGAAATTGTTGATGCATTTCTGTTAATAGATCTCATTTTTTAAAATATTGATATCTTTTAACCATGATTATTTTTAGGATTATGATGATCACTTACTGAATAGCTAAACTCATCAAACTATGGTAAACATTTTTTCAAGATAACCGCAGTTTCATTTTGAGTGCTCATCAAGATCAACCTTGAAAGATATTGTTGTTGTGTTAACTTTCTTTTGTTACTTTATAAGATCTCGCCATTATAAATTTGTGCTATCAAGAGATGTATATATGTTTTGACTGTCATATCTCAAAAATATCTGTATTGTAAATTCTTGGGCTGTGACATAGAGAAAGACAATACTAAAAAATTTTAGAGAGAAATATCACCTAATTTTTAAAGAGAAAAACTATCTCAAATTTTTTTTAAAAAAGAAACTATCTCAAAATTTTTAGTTAGAAAAACTTTCTAAAATTATAAATCTAGAGAGAGAAAGTAAATAATTTTTTTAAAAAATACCCATATTTTAGGTTTTAGAGAGAGAAAATATCTTAAAATTTTAAAAAAAGAAACTATCTCAAATTTTAAATTCTAGAGATAGAGAGTTTTTGAAATATTTTAGAGAGAAACTATATCAAATTCTAAGTTTTAAAGAGCAAAAGTACCTAAAAATTATTGGAGAAAGCAACTGTCTCAATTTTTTTTGAGAGAGAGAAACCATCTCAAAAGAAAAACAAAACTACTCAAATTTTAAGTTCTATAGAAAGTACTTGAAAGTTTTTAGAGAGAGAAAGTATATCAAATTTTAAGATTAGAGAGAGAAGGGATCTTAAAATTTTAAACGACAAAAATATATCAAATTTTAGAGAGAAACTATATCAAATTCTAAGTTTTAGAGATAGAAAGCATGTGAAAATCTATATAGAGAGAATTGTCACTAAAATTTTAGAGAGAGAAACTATATAAAACTTTAAATTTTAAATAGAGAATGTACTTGAAAATTCTTAGAGAGAAACTATCTCTAAATTTTTAAAGAGAGAAACTATATCAAATTTTTAAGTTTTGGAAAGAAAATATCTTAAAATTTTAAAGAGAGTATCAAATTTTGGATAAACTACCTGAAATTTTTTAAAAAGAGAAACTATCTCATGTTTTAAGTTTTAGAGGAAAGTATCTTCAAATTTTTGTGAGAGTACAATTTAGAAAGAATCTATCTTAGGATTTTTAGAGAGAGACTATCTCAAATTTTAATTTCTAGATAGAAAATATCTTAAAAAATTTTATAGAGAAGATATATCAAATTTTAGATTGAGAAACTTCTTGAAATTTTTTAGAGAAAGAAAATATATCAAAAGTGAGAGACCAAGAAACTATCTCAAGTTTAATAGAAAAACTGACATTATAATAAAAATTAATAGGGATTGTATATAATGAGATCATTTACTTTTGATACAAGATGGTCACAATTCCTTACATACATTTGATGTGAAATTTGATAGCTTGGATGTGTGACAAAGTTTGAAAAAAAATTATATAATATAAAACATTTAACAAAACAAGTATAAAAAAAAACAAAAAGCCATAAAAATGTTATGAACCCATGTACCATACTATCATCCAAAAAGTAGGAATTTATTATATAGAAAATACTTTTCTCTGTAAATATATTTCAAAAGAAATAGAATTTTTTAGACAATCCTTTTCCATAGATCCAAACAGCCTAAGTTGATAATGCTACACCTCAGAACTTGAGACGTTAAGAATACAGATAGGATTTTACACAAGGGCAGGAAGAGCTGGATATAAACTCCGCAGCTCGAAGTGCCCTCAGGAGAGAGAGAGAGAGACAGATAGAGAGCGAAAAAGAGATGGCTGTCGCATTCCCTCTTTAGGGAAGCAATTTATTAAAACACCAACCTTCCATGATCCATGACCCTCCCTTTATTCATATACATATACATGTATACATATACGCGCAACGATATTGTGAATAAATATCAGTCCAAAAATACAGAATACATACTGTTACATCTTCGAGATTAAGTGTACAAGAGCTTTGGAAACCCATATCAGTGGTGGTTGGATGTGTCTCTTGAATCTGAAAGCAACATCTCTGTCAAAGGAAATCAATTCATAACCGCTTCATTTCCTGCCAGTGCAACAAAGAATCGAGTTCTATCAAATTAGAGAACAAGAAAGAGAAACAGATAAAGAAGTGAGGAAAGTTTGAAAAAGCAACTGTTTTGGAAAATATTAGCGATAAAATGGTTCGCGTAGTGCAACTGTAATAACCAGCAGAGGTTTCAGAGAAGAAATGGCCACACACACACAGAATATTTCAAGAACACAAACCAGGGAAGTTTGAATGTTTCTTTCCACCAGCCTTGCTTTGCACAATATGAGACTACTCTGTCCAGTCGAACGATGATTTCAGAAAACGTTGGCCTCACCACAGGTTCAGGGTCCCAGCACTCTTGGATCAACCTGAAAGCAACCCATATTACCAACAACAAGAACATTCAATCCAAGAAAATTTATTAAAAAGACATCTCTTGTTGGTTAACTTTGCCCTCAAATTTCATTTCATTGTGATAAATATCTCTAGATTCTCAGAGATCAAAAGATATTATCGCAAGGCTATTGAAAGAATTCATTGTTTCTATAATTAGCAACAATCAATTTACATAATAAAACCCTAATGAAATGAACTGTGACTATGTCTGCATTTGTACCAGGTTTTTCTATGATACATTTTAAAATGGATAAAAAGAACCAGTTTAAAGCATTGATATATGAGATCCTCAAAGAAATTTAAATCTCCAGGGACAATTAAATGTAAAATGATCTAATACACATAAATATCTATGTGTGCACCGTGCATGCATGCATTTATATGTATGTATGCATGATTCATGTGTACGTGAGCAGATGAAGTATTGCCACTGAGGCTGAAATTTGCAGTTACTAAAATGAGGACCGTACTCTTTGAGGTCAGGCGGATAATGTTTTGATTTGATCTTGAATGGTGGCCTAAGTCCTTGAATAGCAATCATTTCCGAAGCCTCCTCTGGTGCTTTTGGGTGGAAGGGTGGTGCTCCTTCCATCATCTGGCTCAGACCGAATAAAAAATAAGATGTAAACAATGGTCCCATGATTGAGATGCATAAAGAAAATAAGCAGTGATACAAATCCTTAGCTATCCAAGCTGTTTAAACCTCCTGCGATAGAGATACAGGCCGAAAGACCTTGACAGCGAGCCCTGAGTATCAAGGCTCTATGACAAACTAAAAGATATTTTCTCCATTGATGAGAAAAAAATTACCAATTGTACATGCAGCATAAAAATGAGCCTTTCGCATGTTCACCACATCATAATGCATTAAAGATTCACCAAAGACAAGAATTCAAAATGCAGGGGATTTGACCTGGTAACTAAATTGAGTGTACTTAAAGAAGAGTTTCCTTAGATTTCTAAGGATTGGGCTCTTACATGTCATAGCAACCCATTATTTGGAATAGAAAAGAGCAGCAGCCAAAACCCCAACAATAAAAAACAATCATAGTAGCAACAGATGACCAGTTTTCTCTGCTGTGGCAAATAATAGGGATAAAGTTCATCCAGACTTCAGCTTTCCCATGTCTACTAAGAAATATTAGTTCTCAGAAGTCTCAAATATGTGATCCCGTTTGAAGGTGGAATTTGTGTTAAACTACGCACTTTTAGGCATGCCAACTCTTAAACATGTGTACTAAAAAATAGGGCACACAATTAAAAATATATAAAAAATATTTCTAAAATATAAAATGACCGAAATACCCCTGAAAATTTACAGGGGTAATTTGGTCATTTTAAATTATTGTAAATAATTTTTTTATATTTTTATATGGTGCACAATAGTGTTACGTATATACCACCCAAAATTTCATCTTAAACAGATGCATAGAAAAAAAAATTAAAATTCATATAGTGATATGCATTTTGAAACACATGATGAAAATCTGACGGTTGAGATTCCATCTATATTACTATTCATTATAGCTGCCCAACTATTGGAAGGTTTACTCGTTATCAAAACAGACAAATGAATTTTATTTTATTTTTTATACTAACGGACAAAGAAAATTCTAATACAAGTTACACGAACCTCATAAAGAATGAGACCGAAGGAGAAGGCATCCGCACTTCTGTCAAAGACTTCACCTTTTTGAACCTCTGGGGCCGTATGCAATCCTGACAGGTGGATAACAATCAGTAACTGCTTATCAACATAGCCTTGGCAGTAAGCAAAGATCAAAACTATCTTACATTTTCTTTCTAAGAAATAACTGTAGTGATTCTCAAAATTAACATGCATCATCTAGTACATCCATTGTACATTGTTAAACAGAAAATGAATGTTTGGTTCCAGTAAGGATTTCGTGGATGAGGTGACAAACTGACAATTTAAGCACATTAGACATTATCAATTAACAGAAAACAAATCTTTGGTTCCAATAAGGATTTTGTGGATGATTGGTGACAAACTGACAATTTAAGCATTTCAGGGATAAAGATGTTTGGTTCCAGTAAGGATTTTGTGGATGATAGGTGACAAGTTGACAATTTAAGCATATCAGGGATACAATTTAGTTCACTCCCCACCCCACCCACCCACCCACCCAAAAAATTCCCAAATCACTCATGCTAAAGGCAAAACTTAGTTTTCTATGGTCTTCCTTACACGTCAAAACTCCAAACCAGTTGTCAAACATGACCATGTCAATACCAAATGAAAAGTTCGCGGAAAGCACACATCTGAATGGCATGGCATTCAAGTTAAATCGTAATATAAATCATCTTCCGCATTGCAGGAATTGTATTAGAAACATTTCATCAGCTACCAAGAATGCACAAGCTCGAAATGTTCTCCTATGTGATTCAAACAACGCATTATAACAATAGTTATTTAATTGTTAAACCAAAGGAAATGTTGCCAGACGCATTAATTGGTGATGATGAGAAATCCCAAACCTTGACCTTGTTTGGTAACTCCTATGATCATTACATCTCGTCTCAATGCATAGCCCTTTTCCCTAAAGTTCAGCCTAAAATCTTAGTCCTGGTGGTCATTAATGAATACTGGACTTGTTATTTCTGGTGAATTCATCGAAACCAGTATTAGGATATATGCAATCATCGAAACCAGTATTAGATAACACGAAGAGAAGCAAGCATTAGAACTCAAATAGATGCAATTATTTTCTTATCTGGAATTTCATCTATCCATTAGTTTATTACTACATAATTAGTGCCTTTCGAAAGTAAATACAACTAAAGTTTTCACAGAAATAAAGGCACTCAAGGATGTAGGCAAATGAGGAGGGAATCAGAAGCAGGTGCAAATAATCAATATTCACAACTTGAAATTTAATCAAATAATCAATATACCCAACTTGAAATTTAATCAAATAACTCAACTTACTTGAATCACCAAGCAAATCACCAAGTTGGACGACTTTAAATTTCTCGGGTGACATTTTTGTCAGCTTTATCAGGCCAAAACCAGTCACCTTCAAAAGCCCTCCACTATCCAGCAAAATATTTCTGGCACCTTACCAAATATTCAAACAGTAAAGAACAGTACCTAATATATGTGAACAAAATATTTTTGAAATATTTGCTTCATATTTTTCTCTTGGGTGTAAGGAGTCAAGTACATACTCCTAAAACTGCAGCTTGATCCAATTTGCATAAAAAAAGATGAAAATTCAAATAGCAACATACACTCTCAACCGTTGAATCAAGATTTAACAGCTGAGAGCATAACCAAAATTACCATTTATTTTAGGTGAAAACCCATACAAATATTATATATGTATCTATGTATGTATGTATAAACACCACACACACACACACAAACACACAAAAACACACTAAAATTATAAATTCACAGACTCCTGCATTTTGTCATCTTACTTTGGCTTCAAATCACAGTGAATGATAGGATCTGGCTTGCACTCATGAAGATAGTTCATTCCCCTGAGTACAAGACAAGAATCAATGCATAGAAAATAATGTCAGCCAAATAAGATAAAGTATTTCAAAATGATGTGAAAGGTTTATAAAATCAACATAACAAAATTATCGTAATAAATAATTTGCAACATGCCTCAGTAAGTAAGACAAAATGTTTATAAATCAAACTCTAGCATGTAAATGCCATTCATAGCCAAAGGACCATGCTGAAACCGACATGTACTTTTTATTTGAAAGAATGCATTTACAATTCTTTTTTTCTTCTTGACAGCTAACAGAGTGAAAGAAATTGTACAGATAAACTATGACACATGCAAAAGAAGAAAAAAAAAAAGTATGCATTTATCACATCATCATCAACGTCAAAGCCTTTTCTCAAGTATGCATTTATCACATGATGTAATGAAATCAAACAGTTTAAAAAATCATTGATCTAGATCAGAATTGGCCGATCCATATCAGCCCCAATCAATCGAACTGATCTGGATCCAATAAAATATAAGGAACCAGCCGGTTCCCCCCACGAATTGGCCGGTTCTCTGACAAAACCAATTAGAACCGGCCCCACTTCTTTTTCTGTTTATCTAATAACTGGAACCAGCCAATTTGGGCTGGTTCCGTCCGCTTCTATGATAGAAACGGTTCTGTCATATAACCGACAAAACCAGCCCACTCGGTCAACCGGATTGTCAATCCATCAAGGACCAAAAAAGGTCACGGATCCATTTTTTAGAACCTTGAAATCAAATGCATGGGAATCCAAACTGCAAATTTCTTTTTACACACCAGGGTCCAAACTGTTCAATTTTTTGTGCTGTACATTATTATTGCTGCAGAGACAGTGTTCATCTTTGTTTTTTGAACCCTTTATATGTACTTCATCCTTTATATGACAAAGTGCATCCATATAATTTGCTTCCTAATCACTTGTATATTAGTCCTAAGGGCTCCATTGATGATAATAGTTCACTAATTCCTCTGAATTTACATAAACAACCGAAAATGACTCATGTATGCTGACATGAAATCATGGAGAGCACCTTAGTATCATGGAAGTTCCATAAAATGTAAACAACTGAGCAAAGACATCAATCTCATATTCTGCATGTTCAAAGTTCAAACAGCGATGTTATTCCAAAATGTAATACACATGATCTACCGGATGTTGGAGGTCTTTGAAGACTCGAAACTGATGACATCCATTTAAACTTGAGACAGAGAATTCACCAAGGGCATTTTCTCCACCAAAATCATCATGTAGATACTTAACAAGTGTGGCAAACTAGTCTAAGACATGAAGCTACTGAAAAAACATAAATACTTCCAAGTCTCGTTTGAGAAGATATATCCAGGTAAATATGCTAAAATTATCCACAAAATTCGAATGACAACAGGAACCAAAAAGGTAATGTATGGAAGCCACATGTCAGAAATGAGAATAAATCAACTCCACAGGACAAGAAGGAAGTTGCTCTTACTAAAAAAAAGTGGGGCTTAAATGCTTCCTTTTTTATTTTTTTATAATTGTGAAAATTTTTGTTGCTGTATCAATTCAAATAATTTTGTTGCTGAGAGGAAAAGATACAAAGTGATCAACAGGCGAATCAAGGAGATGTCAAGGTGACATCTTGGTGTCAGAAACTCTCCTATCCATAAAGATTATTAAATGCTTCCTTTGTTGGCAAGAGAGTAGGAGATTTATTGCTATTACAATGGAGCAGTAATGATTATACAATAACAAGTGATGCACCAACATTGAACAATGTGAATCAAACATAATCTATGGAACCAATTGACTGTTTACAATTTATACTTGACCATGAACAACAAAGAATCAACGCAAACTCTATGAAGCTTACAAAGCTCCCATCATTCACCATTTCGGTGGTTTCTAATCAAGACAAAAAAACATAATAATACAGTTAAATAATCCTCAAAAAAAGGTAGAAGTCCATAAAGGTACGTTCGAGAGCTATATGGCAATATGATGGTTTCCAAGGTAAATGTTACTCACCTAGCAATATCAAGAGCAAATCTCAGGGCTTTAGAGGGTTGAAGACGTCCTTTCTTTTGCAAATAGCTTGCTAGATCACCCTGAATTTACCCAAAAATCAATGACATATTTCCACATTCAAGAATGTTAACATCGCAGCATAAATGATCTAAACTACTAATAATAGTCGATCGCTGCAGTCTAGTCATTTAGAAAGAAGAGGAGAGATTGTGACAGTAACCAACCCTAAGATCTGTCAGAGAAACATAATTGATTAAGTTAAAGCATTAGATTTCACTAGCACAAGCCACAAGAAAGAGACTAATGGCATTAAAACACAAGAAAGAGACTATTGGCATTAAAACACAAGAAAGAGACTATTGGCATTAAAACACAGCATTAAAACACATGCAGGTGTCTACCATGTAGTCCAATTTAGGTACGCATTGTTACTAAAAGTCTAAAACTCTCCAATTCAGGATAAGTCTAAGCTTTTAATTCTTTCAAAATACTAATATGTGAATACAATGCAACAGAGCAGGGGCTAAAACTGCAAGGTAATATAAAAGCCTAGATGGTTTACCTAATGCATATAGGAATTAACAAGATCCATGAAGAAAAACATCACATCGCATGCACAGAGGAATTACATAAGGTAATGAATCCTAAAATGATGCTGCACCTCCAGGCCATATTCTAATATGAGCATCCCTGTGAAAAGGAGGATAATCACGGGAAAGAAAACATCAACAAGGTCACTAAGCCATCAAAGACTTTGACCAAAGAGCCTGGACACGCAAGGCATTCATGGACCCAACTGATGATATCAATAGTATCACCTGAATAAGGAAGGGGACAAAAGGTGAATACTGAACGACACCCCCAGTCATCAATCAAGTCAGAATGTCACATATGCAATAAAAACAACCCAGTATTCAACTATCAACATGCCAAAGAAGATCACTTCGAATGATTCCATCAAATTTAACCTTCATAAACTGCAATCTATTGAATAGATCTGAAACACCAAATATATCAGCCAGACGTTGCATTATTGAAATATCCCAAAGAACATTCCAAATCTTCAGGTCAAGGCTAATAATGGCCTCCAACATCGAGCATAATGCACCCAATAGCCTAATCAAATTGACACTAAACTCAATCAACTCATCAATAGAATGATTAAGAAAATTTATAAGAACATGATAATCTGAACTACAACTTTCAACGGTTGGATAAATTCTTTTCTCCTAGAGAATGCATCTCGATTAAATCATCCTCAAATTTTGTATGATACAGACAAGGAGTCTGTGAAGATAAGGTTGACGACATGGAAAACTCAAGACCTTCAATACAAGAAAATTCACATTACAGGAAAAGGACTTATTTCATTTGTGAATAATGGAGAAGTTTCAAAATGCACTAGATTGATTACTCATAATAAAGAATCTCACTTTTGGATGGTACTCTGAAACAATCATCATTGGGAAATTTTGAGTAACAGCTCCTACAAACTGAATCACATTTGGATGCCGAACCTTTTCCAGCAATGTTAGCTCATGTTTAAAAGCTTCACTGCAGCAACGTCAAAACATGAAACAACATTAAATGCCAGAGGAAATAATTTAATAATTCAAAAACGGAACAATAAAATCTATTCAATTGAATTCAACATAATTATCTTCCAGTATACATTGTTCATATAAAAATGCACTAACTTCAACAAGTGTATCAGGTTCTAATGAAGAGAGACGTCCTTAAGAGCAAAGAATACCACAGGGTGAATTTTCTTACATGCTATCAGGATCTGAATAGCTGTCCTTGTCAAGTATTTTTACAGCAACTTTTGTTCCATTCCATTTAGCCACTTGATATGTACCCTGTGAAATAATTGAATTCCAGTCATTAAATCAGATAAAAGGTGTACAATCCATGTTGCAATCGGCCATAGAGGTCCATATTCCATCTTTCTGATGCATAAAACCCTTCAAGTAGAATGTACCAGAACACTATGCATAATATCAAATCAATATGCAAGCGACCGTTATAAAAGTGCCGAAGAAGAGCCAAGAAAATAAATGACAATTAACTTAAAAATTTCAGTTTTAGGTAAAAATTTGAAGAAGTCCAACATGGAGATTTGGTTCTCATAAAGAGTTTTGATTTTAGTCAATGTCCGCAAATGTTGTAAAATACAATGATTTATATTCTGGAAACAATTGAATCATTGAATGATGACACTTTAAGGACAATTCCTCGTCAGTTCTTCAAAAATAAATATTTAGAATACTCAATGCTAGGAAACTAGAACACATTGAAATAAAGAGAAACAAGAGAACGAAACAAAATCAGACCTTTGTGATCCCATCACACTTTCGAAGTTGAAGTTCAGCTGGATTAAGTTCATATTCTGGAACCTCTCGAGGATTTGTCACAGTCATTGGTGTCTTCCTTGTTTTCTAAAGATGCACATGCAGCAAATGAAATGGAAATGCATAATGCATGAGAATAATATTTCGAGTAATTTAAACTTCACAAGGAACACTAAAAATCCTCACACCCAATACGTGCCATACCGGAACTTTCGCTCCTCGAGCCTTCAAGATATTGTAAACTTCTACGTTTCCATAGAACTTGGCATCGGCTGCAGCCTGTCACAATAAAATACATTTAAAGCAAAACCCAATATTCTGATAAATGTTGCAATGAAAGTAATGGCATGCTGGGATAACATTTCCACCAGATGTATGTCACTATCGTTCTTACGCTTTAAGTTTTAACAGTTAATGTCGGCAACTTCATTCTCTCAATATACTTATCAAAACTCAAAAGAAATGGAATTATCACTCATGAAAAACAACTTTCCAAGCAGCTAGTGGTCCACTCAATGTGTCTATTGAATATATTCTATGCGTAGAATTCCAGTGTGACCTACACATTTAGGCACAAGCCATTCAGAAACACGCCCAAACTCCCTCCTACTTTTCCTTTATTTTTCTGGGTGTGGTTAAGCTGGATTCAAAGTCGCAATGGTTGCAACATCAAATCCATAATAGTCTTTCAGTGGGCAAATGGGACAATTTCGACTTATGAAAGTCACTAAGCAATTAAAAGTTTAGAATCCACAAACTCAAGGTCCAATTTCAAAATTTGATGGTTATCACAAATTTAAAAATCAATCTCTCATTGTAAGCAATGACCTAAGTTAGCACATCAAATTGGGATCCAATTGTTTGAGTTTTGGGAATGGATTGAGAGAGAGAGAGAGAGAGAGAGCTCACAGTGCTCCCCCAACGATCACGAGCATCGATATTTGCCCTCCTGCTCAGCAAAAGCTTAACTACATCAACATGTCCCTCACAAGCCGTTATATGTAAGGCCGTCCTTCCATCCAAATCGATGCTATTCACATCGACACCCTCATTTAAAAGGTCCTCAACGCCCTTGGCATCACCCCTACAAGCCATGAATAAAAGCTGCATAGTTGAATCAAGGTTATCAGGAACAGTTAGCTGTTCTTTCATTAGGCCTCTGTTTGGGTCCAAAGATGATTGCCTTCCAAAACTGAATCTCATTGCATTTCGTTTCGGGTCCATCGAGGACTGGCGGCCGAAACCCTTGAAACTGTTTCTCAATGAACCAGTAGAGAATTGGCGAGATATCCCTCGCTTCAATTGACCTGCGATCTCCATTTTTTGAAACCAGAATCCTCGAGATAAGAGAGCAGAAAGCTAACCAGAACTGGGGATAAGCATTGCAATGGAGAATGTGAGAAAACCCTTTTTTGATGGAGTTCAAGGTTGTGGTACTCAAAATCCTGACAAAACTTTTTTTTCCAATCAAACTTGTGGGGTTAGATCTCTTGTAAGCCCTAACTTTGATAAGACTTTAGGTTAGGATAACAGGATGTCAGTTGAATCCTCTTCTTTAATGCAGTTATAGATCGAATCAGTACCAAAATTGATTTTGCGATCACAATTCACAAAGACCTAACTTATAGAAAACAAATTTCAGAGAAAACCCCATTCTGGTTTAAGTATCCAAAAATTTCCTCTAGTTTCAATCCAGATTCCAGTTCACCTCAACCAAAGTACCACCTGATCCAATTGAGAGCTGTCAAGCAAATATCAAAACACTAGTTCCTCTCAATTTCCACAATTTCACTACAACAATATCTACAATACCACCTCTTCCAGATCCAAACAAGAAATCACCTCAAATTTTTAGAGAAAAACCGTTCGTATATCCAAATTCTGATTCAAACCAAAACCACCTCCTCCAAACCAGAAACTAGGCCCAATCCCTGAGCATATCACCCTTTTCAGAAGTCCAAATCAAGGCCAAACCATAGAAACCTCAATCAAGAAGCCTGATCAATACACAAGGATTTGAGCACAAAAGTTTCTCTCTGTGAATCTGGAACTAGGGTTAGGGCAATGGAGGAAAGGGGGATTGCTCAGGATCCCAGTGAGAGATCCTTTCCCTCTTCCCAATGAAAAAATTAGGGTTAGGCCATGGATGGATATTATTAGGTTTTGAAAATGGAGGAGAGAAAATGGTGGGAAAGGAGTAGGAGTAATTTGTGGTTGAAACTGTGTTTTGCATTGAAAATACCAAGTGGGATTGTTTTATTGGTAACATTAAATGATTGGGAACATGACAAGTGGACTGTGGGCCCACCATTACATGTGGTTTTGATCCATTTATGGATCAAATTCATGAACATGCAGATTTGAGGCTTTAATTTCTTGCCAGGAGATAAGGTGTTCCCGCGGGAGCATATCCCAATTCACTTAGGAACCCAAAGTGTAGGACCTCATGTAAATAGATTCCATGCTCTCGTGAGGGCACATTATTTGTTTACTCCCACCGTCAGGATTCAACCTAAGAGTATTTTTACGACCGTAAATTTTGGGATGTATAACCTTTTTCAACTAGAGCTTTGATACTCAAACTGGCTCCATGAACTGGCTATATGGGAAATTGGCTTGGATTGGGCAATCACTAATCCGGATCGACGTTGTCCACTTTTTGGAGGACGATATCTAAGTGTTATAGAACTTAAAATTCAATTTTGTTTAACAATAATTATCAATTGCTTTTTAGATAGATCCCCAAACTTTTCTTAAAAATGCTTATCAGGTGATTCTAAGTAGACCCAAAATTTCAAATCCAAAACATTCTCTAGGTAGTTGTTTTGCCTGAGGGAGTAAGTATACAATATGTTCTCACCGGAGTACACCACTAGTTGTGAATATTTAGGGGAAAGACCAGAAAAAAGTTGTTAGTAATTTCGGGGGCAAATCCTAGCTGTCCAATTTTGCATCTAGCCCCTTTTGGATGTTTGTTGGTTTTATGCACAAATGGTAACTTTTGATTGTGTAAATCCTATGCACCATTGAGGACTTGAAAAGTACATACTAGACCATTCACATTTCTTTTTTTTTAAACAATGCACCAACTTTTCTTCACTTTGGTATCTAGATCATTGGTGTCAATACAGATCGACTCATTAAGCACCAATATTAAAAGGGATTGTACATTATAAAAGATCGCTTTTTTTGGGTGCAAAGGAGTCATAATTGCTCTTAGCCATTATCGGTGAAATCAGATATATTGAATTGCCACAATATTTTAAAATTTTATTTTAGAATTTGTACTCAATCAATGATACGCCCCAAATATTCAATTTCATATATAATATTAATTATGACCTCTATATATCAAAAGTAAATGGTCTTATTATATATATTTTCATATTAAAAAGATTATTGAAAAAGTGAGTAACTGAATTAAAAAAATGTGTGGGATATTTTAACCACCTCAAAAATTTTGCTAGAAGGGGTAGTTTTTATGCCCAAATATCCTCAAATTGATCATCTCGACATCAAGATGCATGGACATAAAAAAAATGGAATTCAAGTTTTCGAAATAGCGCATCTTGTAACGTATTTTTGGAGGGTCAATTTTCAATATTTTCAAGTTTTCATAGATCAGCTCAATCAACACTGTTTTTTAAGCTTTAAGTTTTATAATTAAATACAAAAATATATTTTAAGGCTATCACAAAGATTTCCAATATTGAAACCACAATTCTCTACACTATTTGAAGGTGGGCTATACTTTGATTGTTTAGAACCTCGACTCCATACAAACCACACCCATTTTAGAAAAAGGTATCATCTTTGTTGGAAGCAAGTCATGAACCTACTCCCTTGGCAAAATACGTGCTTAAGAGGATTTTCTCAATCTGGTACTTGAGATACAATCCACAATCACCAAACAAGTTTTTTAAGTAAAAAAAGAAAAGAAAGAAAAAAGACTTTTGAATTCTTAAATACTTAAATATAATCAGCCAAAATTAAAAATTGGATAGTCTCGCAATAGTAAGAAGTTATTTTTTTGGCGCACATAGAGCGAGGATTATAATTTTATTCATTTTATTGATTTATTTCGAGGTTGGTCCCTTGATTGAGAATATCTTGGCATAAAAATGCTTTTACCCGAGGGTACAAATGTATGATATGCTCGCGCGAGCACACAATCTTGTGATGTGAGTATTTATGGCACATGGACGAGAAGCATGTGAGTTCCCACCATGACAAGAATTTAAAGATGAGAATATAGTAAATTATGAAATATGTTATTTCTGCATAATGAGATATTGAATGTGTGAGATACCATAGATTGAGGCTTTATTCAAGGATATTAAAATTTTTGTCACTACTAATAATAGTAAGAAGAGGATGAGCATAAAGTAAAAGAGGGCCCTTTGAGAAATGAGATGTGAGGTACCTTTGACTGAGAGTTTTATTTAACACTAAAATAAGTAAGAAGAGCATGTGAGGAAGGCTACAAAGTCAAAGAAAGGTACTTTAACAAATGAGAAAAATGAGAATATGAAAATATCAAATATGTAGGGGAGAGAAGAGAGAGAGAGGTAGGTGCCATTAGAGATAGAGAGAGTGAATATCTGAGTTATTTAAAAAATAAACAAGATACATAAGATATTGGGATGGTATATAAAATGGTGCAAAAGGATTTTCAACGGTTCATAATAGAAGGGAAGAAGATAATTTGTCATGATTATATTTATTTAGTATTTTAGTTTAAGTTTTTACATACTAGATTTACATGAAAATTTGCATGTGTATGCCAAAAACTATAAGAAAAAAAAAAAGAGCCCCAAAAAAAATAAATTGATTAAGATGCTCCTGAATGGTTTTGAGGTATTTAGTCAAAATAATTTTTGTGGACCTTTTTTTTTGGTATGTTTGTGATCTACTTTATTGGGAGGTGCCGACACCCAAAACATCAAACTAATCGACTATATAAAATAATAAATTTACAAGGAAAAAGTATATCAATGACGTCAACTTTATACAATTGAAGGAACGAGCGCTTAAAATGCTATTAAAAAAAGATTGTTTTGATGCTGGAAACCATCTAAACTCAACCTCGAGATGTATAAACATGAGAAAAAAAAAAAAGATGTCAAGTCATAAAAATAGTGGTGCAGTTTGTATAGGGCCTAGGCTCTAAACAATCAAATAAGAGTCTACCTTCAAATAGTATCGAAAAATGTGGTTTCAATACAGGAAATCTTTATGATAGCCTTAAAATATATTTTTATCTTTATTTATAAAGTTTAAAGCTTCAAAAATAGTGTCGATCAAAAGATCTATGAAAACTTGAAAATTGATGATACAAAAATGCGTTACAAAATACACTATTTCTAAAACTTAAAATCTATTTTTTTCTCATGTCCATGTATCTTGATGTCGAGATGTTCAATTTGAGGATATTTGGGCATCAAAACAACCTCTTCTAATGAAATTTTTTAGATAAGTTCAAACTTGATTGTTTAGAGCTTAGGCTCTATATACATTTTTTTAAAAAAAATAATGTATCTTGTAACACATTATCTAGACTGTCTATTTTCAAAACTTTAAATGCTTATAGATGCACAGGATTTGCACATTTTTTGGAACTTTAAGTTCATAGTTTAAAGCGACAATAGATTTTCATGCCTGTCGCCTTTCAACACCAAAACTGCATCTTTTGGTATAGTTTTGAAGTGCATCTTATTTTGATTACTTAATATTATGCCTTAAACAAACCCCCAAAATTTAAATATTACATACAATTATAACCATCCATTTCGTTCTCCTCTGGTATAAACTGTCAGTTGAGAAGATAGTTGTGCACCCTTAAAAATTTTTGGCAATATAAAGATATAGTTTACACATCTAAACTACTGAACTCAACTGGAAATCTCTATTCATCTCTCATTTGAACAGCCACCTAACAAGCCACAGTGGCCCGGTGGTGGTCTCTACATTCATTGCAGCGACCATGCGCTTGTGGTTGTGCGTCGCAAGGGCGAGGGGTCTACACGACGACTCGTGCTTGACATTTGTGATTCTAGCAGACTGTTGCTCACACCCGGAGCCAAAGATGACAGGGTCATATTTTTGGGAACTGTATTAGGCCATGCATTGTGGAGGGCATCGGACTAGAGCTGAAAGGGGAGGGTGGGCTTGTTTGGGAGGGAAGATCCACTTGAAGATAAGAAAGCATGGGGGATTGCAGGGAAGAAGCGCATGAGCTCAGCGTCGGTGTATTTGTCATCATCACTGAGGTTTCCGGCAGACAAGATCGTTTTCAGGTGGGGAAAGGGCAAGAGAATTGAGGTGGTATTTATTTGCAAGGATGGACGGATTGCTCTGGCAGACACAAAGGATGAAGATGTGTTGTTCAAGTATCTATGTCCCTTGATGCTTCAAATGGATGGGTTTATGGCCATCCATATTTGGGGCCTTGTGGCCATTATGCAGCTCTCAAAGGCCTAATTATCCATGATTTTCATTTGGTTATGCATTTTCATGTATTCACAATATCATTTTACATACTTACCCAACAAAAAAAAAAAATTCATTTTACATAAGCGATTGATTTACAAAATACAATGTTGAATTTGAATTCATAACCACTTACATATGATTGAAAGTAGTAAGAAAAGATACAGAGACTTATGGCCTCACTGAGAGAATAACCTTTAATAGAGTAAAATGGCAGGCTGTGATTTGTATAGCTGACCCCAATTAGTTGAAAAAACGCCTTGATGATGAACCACTTAGATGGTCGTTTTAAAATTATCTTGTCTCTATTCAATTTGAGAAAATTATTTCTCAGCTATGTACGAAGTGTGGTTGATTTTTTCTCCTTTAATTTTTGTAAAACATAAAATGGCCAAAATACTTACTAAAAATTATAAGGGTACTTGTTTCCATTTTATTTTTATCAAAACTATGTTTGATACTTTTCTACAAGTACATGTAGGAAGTGGCAATGGACCCAGACCAAACCTGGGATCTTAGGGGTAGACCCGATCCGGGTCTGAGTATGGGTCCAAAATTTAGACCCCGTGGTCTAGGTCCAAAACTTGGACTTGAATGCTATTAGGGTTCAGGTCCAGGTCCAAGTATCTTTTTCAGGCCCCAATAATTGAAATATATTTAAATATAATTAAATACATCGCTATTTTAATTTTTGGGTGGGGTTTGGGTCTAGGTCCCATATCATTTTACGGGTCCGGCCAGACCCAAAACCCGTTGCCATCCCTAAGTACATAATGCTGAGAAGTACAGATAAGTAATAGAACACAAAGATTGTTCTCAACAAAATAAGCATTTATTCTTTGGGCAAATGACTTGGAAATTTTCTTACTAGGAAATTTTGGGATCCATTTTAAGTATAAAAAATTAAAGGTAAAGTGGTTTATGCGTTTGGGGGCACATAACTATATTTACGTCTGCCAAGGCATCACACAACCATCTTAAAGATGGATGTGGATTTGCGGTCTCTAAAAAAAGGCAAAATCAACTGTTTAACATTTTTCTTTCAAAAAATTACCATTTTTAGATTACTTTCGTTTTTGTTTTTACACATTCTTATTCTCTATGTTAGATATTATATACACCTAAGAAAGTTAGATCTAGTATATATCTAAAAAATAGATCATGAAGAGGGGATGCATATTTGCATATAAGTATTAGGACTCACAAAAACTGTGTAATAAAACCAGAAAAATTACTCATCCAAGCTCCTCAGCACCTAGATCTTGGACGACCCACATGCAATCCTAGAGTGAAATTTAATATCACTGTTAACTTATTTTCAGGGAGATCCTGCATCAGTATTCATGTTAAGATAGAGTAACAAAAACCATGCATGGTCAAACTTGCACCTTTCATACCTTCTTCGTTTTCTAGATTTTGGATGAAGGAAAAGAAGAAGAAAGAACAAAGGGTCAAACCTCCTCAAAAAGACACAATGAGTTTGTTAAATCAATAATTTTACAAAAAATGTGATTAGCTTTTATATATCCTTTTATTCAATATCTATTTAAGAATTTTGTTAAAAATGCCCAAATTGGCCTTATTACAAGTTTGTAATATAGAACAAGCCATGGCATTTTGGTAATTTAACCAACTTAAATCACTCGACCCAAATGAAGACATTTAAGTGTCCCTGATATTTTCAAGGTTCCAAATGTGGAAAATGTTTTTCTTAAAAAGCTCCTATCCTAGGTTCGAAATCCAAAACAAGAAGCGGCATTTTGGTAATTTAAGCCCACTTTAGTTAGTTAGGCCAAAAGATGTAAACATAGTATCAGACTGGCCACCAAATCGATAAAGGGTTTGGTCCAATCAAAACTTGTTGACCGCCTTTAAAAAAAGAAAGCAAAATAAGAATGATAAATTTAAAATATGAAATATATTACAATAAAAACAACTTAAAAATTGTTAATTGGTTGAGTTTGTTAAATTTGAATAGTCCAACAAGCTAAAACCACTGAAATTCTTAGACAATTTCTATACCAAACCTATTTTTTTTCTTAAGACCCGACCAGCTAGCCCGAATCTTGAAAACTATAGCAAATACCCATACTTTTTAACATCTTTTGGTGCAAAAAAAAGAGAGAGAAGAAATTACGATATAAAATCTTTTGGTACAAAAGAAATAACCACATTTAGGCTATTTGGCTCAAAAATCCTTAAGTTGCCGAGAGGTACCCAAATGAGTTGTCAAGTAATACTAGGAAGGTTCCAGAGGCTCATAATACAGGAAATTTCAATATTCTTTGACGTAATTGTCAAAGAGATACCCAAATGAAAGAAATCTTAAAAGCTAACCATTGTGCTACAAATTAGTTCATTAGCCGAACTCATTATTAAAATAATGGGGAATTGTCAAAATACATCTAATTTTTAATAGTTTTTACTTTTTTCTGACTATTCCGACTCATGGTGGTATGTATTTTGACGAGTATTTTGAAATTAAATTACATAACAGTAATAAAATTTTAATAATACAATTCTAATGATAAATTCCTTTTATGGATGTGGTTGACATAGGGGTGTCAACCTTATACAATCAAAATAAGGTGTACTCCCAAAATCTATGGATAGATGCAATTTAAATGCCAAAAACTGTCAAAAACTTTATTTTGACATTAATTATTTGTAGATCGACCAAATCATGAAATATTTAAAAATCTTGAAAAGTATTACAATATGTAATATTTTTGAGACTTCAACGTTTTATTTATTTATTCATATCCATTAGTATTGAGGTTGAGATGATCAATTTGAAGGTGATCATAAATATTTATATAGTATAACGTAGGCCCCCTTAGTTATATAATATAAGGTGGACACCTTGTACAAACCCATGAGTAGCAATGGATCTAGACCCGACAGATAAACCTGATTTGGGCCTAAGTATCGATCCAAAAAATGGACCCGACAGGTTGGGTCCGAGTCCGATCTAGGTTTGGGTTTCATAATATTTTTTTGAATCTCAATTTATGAAATATATTTAAATATAGTTAAATACATAGATGTTTTAATTTTCAGGTCTGCTACCATCGAATCTGGGTCTAGCCCTATGAATTTTGGTTTTGGTAGATTCCGGGTCCGGGACCCGACCCGTTGCCATGTCAAACCTCACCCACTGCTTTTTTAGGGTGGTTAGGACTTTGGACCACTTTATTGATATTTTTCCTTTGTTAAAAGCCAAGTGGATAGCAACGTGCCCATTTGTATTAGAAAAGGAGCAGCTGTCATTTTCATTACAGAGACCACTGTCTACAACACTGAATGAAGAGTGCGAGTTATTTTCCTTAGGTTAGTGGGAGAGAGTGTTATTTTTCTTAGGTTTTAGTCCAAAGGTGGCTGTGAATTCGGAGCCATGGCTGCCTTCTCAGTACGCTCTTCACCATTTCTGGACACTGAATCACTTTCTCAATCCTTGTATAGCTTGGATTCAGCCGTAAATCGTTCATACATACCAAGCTTCACTAGTATAGGCTTTTCTCCCCATAAACTCTCCATTTTTAGAAAGGATGGCCTGGTTCTGAGATCAAATTCTAGGGTTTCTGCTAGCGCTGATGGGGCCAGCTCCAATGGAGTCGCTATACCAGATGCTGCTCCTTCGAGAGCGCTGAACAAGTAAGACTCAGTTAGATTTTCATCAATTTGGGTGTTGATTGTTTCCATCAAGCTAAATTACGTATTTCTTATTGTATGCGTCTTTTTGGGGCATTGTGGGTTGGGTTTTACCTCATTTTGGTACTGGTTGTTGGGTTTTTGGTATAACTCATTTTCACGTTATTTAATTGGGTGTTGTTGATTAACTTAGTGGGTGTTAGGAAATTCTGTAGTCCCATAACTGGATTTATCATGAAATTATGTAACTTTAAAATAAGCATTTATAATGCATGTCTGTATCTGATGGATTCTATTGGTTATCATGACTCTATATCATTTACAGTTTTGGTTGTTCCCATGCATTAAGTATTAACATATATGTAAGTCATTAACCAATGTATACTTGGCTTATGAATCTAGAAAATCATGTATTTGTTTATATGCTCTTCATAAATTATTAGGCTATGACCTAATGCTCATATTTATTACTAACAGTGATTTCATTTATGGATAGAAGAACTAGATTCTTGTATAATTCATTTGCAAGTTAGTTAATTGGGTTTTGTTGATTAACTGAGCTTCATATACATAAGTCATTAATCATTGCACATATATTTCTCACTTTATATGTTTAGTCATAAATTATTAGGCTCTGATATAATGTGTATGTTTAGCCTGCTACTAAAAGTGATTTATTCATGGATAACAGAACTAGATTCTTATAAAAGTTTATTCTTGACATTTGCTTTGGTTCCTTGAGCAATTTATCGCAACGTAAGCGTGAGTTCAAAGAACAACTAGTTTTTAAATTTTTTACCCAAGACACATAAAAGAGAACTTTGGGTGTAAGAGTTCTGCAACCTATGAAGTTATAATTAAATTGCTAATCTTCCTCTATTTCAACTATTTGCTACTGAACTATATTGCATGTTTACTCCACTTTTTTTTTTTTTACAGGGCTTGCGCTTTTATTATATTTTGAAATTTTATTGGACTTGTTTCTTGTATAGGGTTCAACGTCACACAATCTCAGTATTTGTTGGGGATGAAAGTGGGATGATAAATCGGATTGCGGGTGTGTTTGCCAGAAGGGGTTACAATATTGACTCTTTGGCAGTTGGTTTGAACTCTGATAAGGCACTGTTCACCATAGTTGTTTCTGGTACGGAAAGAGTTTTGCGGCAAGTCACGAATCAATTGTATAAGCTTGTTAACGTTTTGAAGGTTCCACTCTCTCCCTTTTGATGTTCAACTTTGGATCCCCTGTGCTGTCCTTGTTGTTGGCCAATTTGTATTGTATTGATGGTTTTAAGGTTGAGAAATGGATTTCCTTTTTCTTGTTTTTTTGATATCTTTGTGTCAATATGATGGGATATTATGGTCCCATTGCAACATATATAGGTAATTAATTTTCTTATTTTGATCTTATTACATTAGTAAAAGGAACCTGTGTCAAGGAATATGTGAATGATGACAAGGACTATGGATCAACCAAGCGCTTGTTTACTGGATTAAATCTATTCTGGTGCTATTTTCGTAGACAGTTTGTTCTTGAAGAAGGATCCTTTCCTTCCACTTGGTGTTACACTTGAATATTTTATCATTCCCTCCACCATTGCTTCAACCTAGTGATAGAGTTGAGTATTTTATTAGTTATTCTGCCATGGATTTTGATGTGTTTCTATTTTTTGGTGACTGACCTCCTATGGTACTTTTGTGGTCCAGTTTCTTGCACACCTACCACATTTCTGCAAGATTTTATATTTCTGTTTTTTTTTTATGCCCAACTCTATGGTGTTTTACCCCTACAGTTTCTTGCACACATCATATTTCTGCAAGATTTATATAATCCATTTTCATGCTGCCACTTGTTGCTTTAAATTACAAAATCAGTAATTTTTTTTTTTTGGGGGAAACTGGACAAAATCTGTATGTTTGGAGTACTGAAACAATAACTGTGTTCGAGTAATTGCAAAGGAAATGCAAAGTTTCAAAGGACATGGAAGTTGGAACCCCTTACAGGTGCACATTTTTTTGGTATTCATTTTGATGGATAATGGACTGTGTTGTATAATGATGAAAAAAAGAGAAACTACTGTGAATGACCAAAAGAAAAAAAGAGAAAAAACGGAATGAAACTACTGTGAATGAACTCTTATATTTAACTGGTTTAAATCATTCTAATGGTTTGGATTACGTTATTAGTGCATTACATTCAATACACGTTCTGTTTTTGGTAAACTTAAGGAGATGTTCATAATCAGTTCTTTGGCCTAATGCATCTCTAAATTTCATTGCTACAGGTGGAAGATCTCTCTAAGGAGCCTCAAGTAGAGCGTGAGCTGATGCTTATAAAGGTCAATGTAGATCATAACAAACGTGCTGAGGTAAATGCTGGATCCTTTCTTCGTCGGGTTTCAGTAGCAGAGCTGGATATTTGCTTTTTATTTGCAATCTGGAATGAGTTTAGATCTCTTGATCTAGGAAACAATGATGCCTCTAAACTCTGACAAGAGACTTCTAGTTTACTAAATTGGACATTTTTATGAGTTTTAACAAACTGTATTCATCTATGCCTACTGTGAAGGATGTATCTTATAACCAATGGTTTAAAAAACGGATCGGTGATCCGGATCGGGCTTTCAAAAAACCGATCCGGATCGGCGAATCGGCGATCCGGATCGGGAATCGGGTGAATCGGTCATAATAAAGCTTAAAAAAAATTCGAAAAAATTATTAAAATTCATTATAAATATTGTTTTTTAGGAATTCAATAAAAAATAAGGGTACTCCATTAAGAATTTTCATGTTTTTGAATGAATATGCGAATATTGATATGTTCTTTCCCTGTATGAACCGCCATTCAACATTTAATTTACAGTATTTCGTGCTCATCCCTACACTGTTGCTGTTGGGACTCGATATGTGAATAATATGGCTGGGATAGGGTGGCCTCAGAATCATCATCTCTCTCATTTTCTCTTTGAATAATATGGATT